CCCAGGAGTTGGAGGTTGCTGTGAGCTGTAATGCCACGGCACTCTACCCAGGGGGACAGCTTGAGGCTCTGTCTCAAAAAAAAAAAAAAGTTCTGAACTGCTCACCCAGAATTGTCTTAAAATATCACATATTTCACTTTTTATACCATTACTCCATTCACTCTTTAATAAAATCAGCACTTTGCCTCGCCAAGGTAGACACTCCATCTAGTGGTAGATCAGTTTAGACAATGCAGTTTAAATTCTTTTTCACTGTTACTTTCCCCTTTAACGTTACCAGTCCGGCAATGACTTCACTGATTTTTAGTTTAGCAGTGTTTAAGAACAGATGGAGTGAAAATTTTTTCCAAATCTTGTTCTATGACTTCCAAGCTACACCTGGGGTATGTTATTATTAAATAAGATTCTTTGAGTCTTAGTTTCTTCACACTATAAAATAGGAATAACTGACTACTGACTACTAGTCTATTTTTATACTATTTAATAAGATCAAGCAAATCTTCAATTCCTTTCATCACTCACTCCCTTTGCCCCTACTCTCCTACTCAGATCAAATCCACACCCTACTTAGAAGTTAGGCCTTTTTCCATCATTTGCCACTCCCCCCACCCCCAACCTGATCTTTCCCTATTCCCCTTCCCAACAGAGGCAGCCACTCTAATCAGGTTAATCGTTAGAGTCTTTAACACTAGTCAAGTATATTCTCAATTGCTATTTTGCCCTGTCCCAGCCCCTATATAATCATACCTCATTGCTTTGCTGCTCTCAATCTTATCTATTCTGTCAAGTCAAATTTAAGATACCAACTCCACAAATCCTATATTAATTAAAAACACAATGTCTTTCTTTATATTATAATAAATAAGCAGTGTCCATCCCTGTATACTTATCTTATGTTGCCTCAGAATTTGTCTAGTCATTTTCTGTGCACAAAAAGTACTTCTATATTGCAAAACAAACTAGAATGCAATCTTATAAAGGACATGTACCATTGTTTAGCTTTGGAGTATGGTGGCTCACACTTGTAATCCCAGCGCTTGGGAGGCTGAGGCGGATGGATTGTCTAAACTCATGAGTTGAGACCAGCCTGAGTCAGAGCAAGACCTCATCTCTAAAAAATAGCTGGGCACTGTGGCAGGTGCCTATAGTCCCAGCTACTTGGGAGGCTGAAGCGAGAGGGTCATTTGAGCCCAAGAATTTGAGGTACTGTGAGCTAAGATGCCACGGCACTCTACCGAGGGTGACCAAGTGAAACTCCAAAAAAAAAAAAAAAAGACATGTACCATTGTTTAGCTTTTTTTACACACTTTAAAATCTTTTGTTCTATTTATTTTAACAAATACACACATCTGAAAGTCTAGAGCAATAATAATAATTATTTTTTGTTGTTGCAGTTTTGGCTGGAGCTGGGTTCGAACCCACCACCCTTGGTATATGGGGCCAGTGCCCTACTCTCTGAGCCACAGGTGCCACCCACAATAATTATTTTTTTATTGATTTTTCTTACGCAGTAAATTCTCAAAAGTCAAATATCTTAGTAAAACATTAAACAAAATGCTCTACAAAGGGCAGAATTCTAGATATTCTCAAAGTAAGGGAGGAAATTAAGAACAGCCCAACACATTGTTTTTACTAAAAAAGATTTCATAACAGAACCCAACAATTGATATTATTTTAAACAGTGATCACACTGGATGCATCTGAAAATAGTCAACACATAAAGTAGAAACCTTCAACAACTTTTTATGTTCACAGTCATTAAAAGTCAGACAATGCCTTGGGCTGACACTACCAGAAACTATTCTTTTCTGCTTACATTTTCTAAGATGTCTAACAAGAGAACTTTAAAAAACACAAGTATTAAAACACAAAATGAAAATTCCAGTTAGCATGTCAAAAATTTACTAAAGTTTCTCACTCAAAAATCAATCTGTTGGTAAAGGGGCCACTGGCTTCTTTGACTGTCCTCATCTTATGAGGGTGGGAACTCAGATCCATAAAATGCTGCTCATAGGCTAATGGACAGCATTTCAGTTTATTACTCAGGTCTGTTTGTTGTGGTACTTAAAAGCCTTGTGCCACAATGGAGTCAGCTTCATCCTGTTTGTTCATTCACTACCAGCTCCAAGAAGAGCTTACACAAATTTACCAGGTTCAAATTAAAAGAGAGGACTTAACAAGAAGTCTTATGTGATAAAAACCTGCACAGAACTCCTCATGTATGCAGGAAGCTTACTGATAATGCCTAGGCTATTCTACTAGGAAAATAGCTTCCTCCTGCACTGAGGCCAAATAGTTGCCAAAAATATCAAGAGAAAGTAGACTGAAAGATATAAAAGAACTGGGCTTAAAGACCCAGACTTTCCTCTGGACTAGAATACACAAATGCTTATTCAGTATCAACTAAATAATGTAATTTTACATGATAGATAAGAATCTAGAATCCAGTTCACCTAGAACCCAAACTACTTTTAGCATGGGAATGTGAAATAACTTTTTGAAAGAAACTACAAAATAATTACTTGAAAAAGTTCTTATAACTTCCAACTACATGAAAAAAAGGTCCTTGAAACAGAACCCAACAATGAGCAAATTAAAAGAAATAATTAAGAACATTTACCTCAAACACATCCCTCACACCAAAAGCCAGAATGTAAATTATTCACTACAAATGTGTTCCCTTGATATCCACTCTAAAAGAGATACTTCAATTTTTGCACCAAGTAGATTTAAATGTTTTACCCTAAAGATAAGTCAAAACATCTGGCAACCCTTATTATTATACACCTGCTGGATTTGAAGGAATACGTGCTCAGCAAGTCACCAGTAGCAAGTCACCTTGTGGCACAAGGCTTTTATAGTAAAAGGTGGTTCTCATAATTATGGCAGGACAACAGATATAAAAATAGAAAAAGGGACATACGTGGCCACGATACAAGTGGCAGAATGCAAAACTGGAGAATTATTCGCACAACAGCTGCACATCCTGATGGTCAGTAATCCATACTCTTAAAGTATGGTTGTTAAAACCATGTCCACTTATTCTGAGATTCTGGGATCTCTTGCAGATACTTCTCTGAGTAGCTACCTTGGAAGCTTTAGTTCTTTTCACTGTCATGGCACCTTCTGATTCTGCTATCCAGATGCTGACCCTTTCTCATAACTGTGGGCAGCCTGGTGGTCAAGTAGATGTCTCTCCAATCCTCCTAGGGTTCTCTCTGATTTATGCCACAAACATCCGGAATTATCTTGGTCACTGTCAACCACCAACATCTGAAGCTTCTTAACCACCACCAGTAAGTCACCATACCCTAGAGAATATGGGGGCTCCTCATCCACAGTGATTTAAGACCATTTCTAAAGTGCCCCACCACCATTTCCATGGTCCTTAAGCTAATACACACCAAACCACTGCCAGTATCAACTGAAGATTTCCAATACCATTGTCCTAAACAGATCTAATGACAAACCTACTTCCAAACCCGTGTTCACTCCCTTGGAGTTACCTAACAGGCTTGACAACCTAAAAACTATTTAAGAGAATACTTATTGCCTCCCCAGCCTTTGCTGGTTGGTGACTGACATCACTGATCCAACAATGTGGCTGGAACTGTGCTGCTGCCAACATGTCTCTGACTCTTTAGCTGAGTCAAAGCCTTCATACCACCATGGGAGTGGTAAGAGCTCCCGCAAGGCTGCTAACACTTCTGTGAGCCATGATTTTCAAAGCATGTCCTCAGAGCTCCTGCCACTCACAGTCCATCATACTTCTAGTGAATGCCACCACATTAGAAGCAGACAGTTCCAACTCAGGCAGCCTTAAGCCTAGCCTTTCAATACTAGTGCTCTATAGGATAATTTCTAATAACTGGGCCTACCCATGAGTTAGATAGAACCACTTTCTAGATTCAATGAACTTCTATTACCTGTATTATAACTATCAATCTTGTGCCTACAGACTAAGTAACTCATAAGACTATTTAGGAGATTATTTTTGCTACAAAGAGCTCTCCTCCAAAGTTCTTCCTATCTTCCCAGAAGTTTACAGTATGTAATCAGAAATACTCTGACCAATCACAATCTCTAAAGTGGTCTAAGTAGTCAGGGGTATCATACAGTAACTTTGGGATAACTTCTGGTAGGCCTTATTAGGACTATGAACTCTATGGATAAAAGCAGCCCCATGCTAAAAAATAGTTAACTGCTTATAAGTTAACCACTAAGTCAAAGATTGTTTATTCAATAAATGTCACAAGAAAAACATCATCCAACGAAAGTGACCAACCTCGGTGGCTACAACCAACCTACTCACTCACTCATACAGAAGGCAACCCTGAAGAAAAGCAACCAATGTGCCCACAGAAAGAAGAGAGGATGATGCAGGGGAGATAGATGCAAGGATGTTATTCTGATCATCTTATTAACAAAGAGAGTCACAGCTAGGGAATTACCTAGGCAGTAAGAAAAGTTACTCCTGTAAACAAACTCCCACATAGTGGGTTATAAATTCATCATGACCCTAGGAGCTCTTGGTCATATTAAAAAAAAGGATAAACAAAGATATAAAAAGAGAGAGTTTTTGTATTTGCTTTTATTTTTTAAATATTAGCAACAGGAAACTTTAATAAGAATAGCATAGCAAAATTAGACCTACAAAATTATCAAAAGCAAAAATGAAGGGAATAGCATAAAATAACTTGCAAAGTAATCAAAGTAATGACAGAAGAAAAAAGATGGTGCTAATAATTACAATATACTTTCTTTAGTACCGTACCTTATCAATGGCTTTTCCAACACGAGAAACACTGCTGTGGATATCTTTGTGGTCAGAGGCCAATTTTTGAACAGTATCCTTTATTCTTTTACAGCACTGTGTCAAAACAAGTGAAAGGGTCCCTGATAACTCAGCATCTTGGCCTATAAAAAAAGAAAAGTGGTTGGTTATTCACTAAAGCAAACCCCAAAATGGCATGTTTCAAATACGCCCTCTAGATCATGAAAGATGGAAGAAAAGTGAAGAAAAATCAGTATCTGCTTTGAAGTTGACTGTCTTATTCATAGATGTTATTTTTCAAGTGAATACTAAGAAATATCTTTTTTTTATTTTTAGAAATAAGAATATTTTACTATGAAATATACCACTTTTATAATTACCAAAATCAGCACAAATTATGGATAATAGTGTCATGGCATTATTTCAGAGACTATGTTTAAGTGTAGAATAAACTCATTTATTCAATCTAATTAAAGTGTTTCAGTCATTCTCAAAACATTTTGGTTGCTACTAAATTTCCTGAAGTTCTAAATGCTTCATATCCACATAAAGAAGTATAAAAAACCCCAAACTTTAGATACCATCATGTACAGAAAAGAAGGCCTGAGATTGCTATCCTTAGAAAGTCCTGCTTGCAACATTGGCCTATGGCTAGCATATGGAGACTTGGAGTTCCACAAAGTTCTCACTATTCCCTAACTGCTAAGAATGGCTCTGAACTGTTATACAATGTGATTTATGGTTAACGTGTGCTTTCCTTCTAGGAATCTGGAATTTTAGTATAGGCTAGGCAGATCTGCATGACGAATCCCCAATAAAAACCTGGGTGCTGAGCTTCTAATGAACTTCCCTGGTATCTACCTCATACATGTCACAAGTCATTGTTGGAGGAATGAAATGTGTTCCATGTTTAGGAGAGGACTCATGGAAGCTTTCTTTGGCTTACTCTGGATTTTGCCCCCATGAGTCCTTTCCCTTTGCTGACTTTGCTTTGTATTTTTTTGCTGTAACAGATCTTAGCCAAGAGAAGGACTATATGCTAAATCATTGGAGTGAGTCCTAATCAATCACGAGAACCTAAGGAATGTCTTGAGGGCCCCTGACACATGTATCAACTGGAAGATATTCCCCCTTCTCCTTCTTCCCTGAGCTATCTCCCTCTAAACTTTGCTCTGAAAACAAAAAAGGGGGAGAAAGAGAGAACAAATCCAGTTGTGACAGGTGTCATTCATCTCTGTATTTATATATTGCCACTTATAAACAACTAGCCTGGTTTCTGAAATCCTGCCCAATATTATATAGCAGTGGTTCATTTTACATCAGAATCACCTGAAGATGTAATTTAAACAAAGTATCTGGACTCCAACTCCAGAGTTTCTATAATAATTCAACAGGTCTAAGATAGGACTAGAGAACTTGAACAAGGAGTAGCTCAGGGATATAACAGCCCTAGGATGTTCACTTATTTAACAAATTGAGCACTATGTGACAGGTATAGCAGTGAAACAAAGAACAAAAACTCTCCTAAGAGCTTACTGTCTAGTGAGAGACATAAACAACACACAAAATAAGCAAATTTTGCAATACAACAAAAGATGACACATGCTACTGGAGGGGAGCGCAGGGCAAATGAGATGGACAGTATACATGGATTGAGCAATTGCAATCCCCAGCAGGGGCTGGGCACAGTGACTCATGCCTATAATCCTAGCACTTTAGGAGGTTAAGGTGGGAGGATCACATGAGGCCAGAAGTTCAAGACCAGCCTTGGGCAACAAAGTGAGATATCATCACCACAAAAAATTTATATTAAAAAGGGGGTGGGAGGGGGCAGCACCTGTAGCCAAGTAGGTAGGGCACCAGCCACATACAC